AGACACCACAAGAAAACTACTCATGAGATTCCCTCATGAATATGGATGCCAAAATTCTCAACAAAATATCAGCAATCAACTGAGACTATGGCCCCAGCTGCCCTTCAGGTCTAGAACTGAACCCACACCTGTGGTTTCCAGCCAAACAAAGTACAGGCATGTGAGTTAACATTTACCTCAAGCAGACACACTCCTTGGAGAGAACAATCATGGGAGAAAGAAGGGCAGCTTATGCACAGGGAGACAGCTCATGGGGCAGGAGAGTATGGAGGGATGGACACTGGGAAGAGGTAACTATGGGGAGGAAGTGGGAGGGGAGCTGTTGCATTGTGGTAAACTGTGGTCAATGACATGAGACAAAGTATATGTGAACTGCTGTATGGAAAGTGAATTTGCTCTGTAAATCTTCACCCAAATCACAAAAAACAAAACAAAACAAAAAAACAATGAAATAATGACACACACACACACAAAAGAACTACATGCAGCTGTGTTGTGGCTAGGTGCTACTGAGCTGATTTTGACTCACGGTGACCCCATGTGACAGAGGAGAACTGTTCCATAGGATTTTCTAGACTGTAATCTTTATGGCAGCAGATTGCCAGGTCTTTTTCTATGGAGCCACTGGGTGGGTTCAAATTACCAACCTCTGAGTTAACAGCTGAGCGCTTAACCATTGTGCCACCTGGGCACCTCGCAAAACTAAATTCACTGCCATAGAGTCAATTCTGAGTCATAGCAACCCCACTGGGTTTCCAAGGCTATAAATCTTACAGAAGCAGACTGCCTCATCTTTATTCCACAGAGCAGCTGGTAGGTTCGAACCACTGACCTTCTAGTTAGCAGCCAAATGCCTTTACCACCTGCAATAGTTGGAGCTGTGTGTCAACTTGGTTGGACTACAATTCTGTATGGTTTAAGCAGTTGTGGTATGGGTTATTCCCACGATGGGATCGGATTATGTGTTTTGAGCAGCCAATCCATTGAAGGGGAGTTTCCCTAGGGGTGTGGCCTGCTTCCAATGTATTTATGGACATTCTGGGAAAAGAGACACTCTTCCGTGGATTGGGATCCTGTTGTGCTGCCTACAACTGTCCACAAGCGGACAATGCACCATTCGGCCTGGAGATCTTGGATTCATCATTCGTTGGAGTCAACAACTGGTATACTGCCTCCCAACCTTGAGCTCATTAGCCCCTGCAGCTGCATGAATTGGGAAAAGCTTCCAGCTTGATATCTGATGCAACAACTTGGGACTTGCCAGCTTCTGTAAGTGTGTGAGCCATTTTCCTAAGATAAATTTCTCTTTCTCTATATAAGCTTTATTGGTTTTACAGTCCAACACACCACCCTATCACCAGGGCCCCTAGAACTACCATATAACCCAAGAATTCCACTCCTAGGTATATACCAAAGGACTTGAAAACAGAGACACAAACATACATGTACACCAACATTCAATGCAGAACTATTCACAATAGCCAAAAGGCAGAAACAAATTAAATCACCATCAACAGATAAACGGGTAAGCAAAACATGGTCCTTACATACAATGGAATACTACTCAGCCAAAAACAGCAACAAAGTCCTAATCCATGCTACAGCATGGATGAACCTTGAAAACATTATGCTGAGTGAAAAAAGTTAATCACAAAAGGACAAATATCACATGATCTCACTTACATAAAATGTCACCAATAGGCAAATGTATAGAGACCAAAGTTATTAGTGGTTCCAGGAATGCAAGAGAGGGAGAGAAAAGAGTCACTTCTTTGGGAGTACTGAGTTTCCGTTTATGGTGATGGGAAATTTGGCCTCAATTAAGGGTAATGGTTACATAACATCATTAATATAATTGTTATCGCTAAGCCAAACACCTGAAAAATGTTGAATTGGCAAATGTTGTGTTTGTTATATGTATTTTTGCAATAAAAAAAGATGTTATCCTTTAATTTTGACAATGTGATGAAATAAATCATCAACTGAAAAGCTCTAGAAATAAAGCTAAGTGTCATGTTTACTTCACAAGCTATCGCTGCTGTGAGGAAGCCATAGAAGGCATAGGGGTAGGAGCATCTCTGCTATGAGCACCATGGAGGATGAGGTACAGTATGTGGCCAGCCACATACCTCCTGGTATCCCTGCCTCCTGTATCCTCCTCGCCCAGGGAGCAGCTGGGAAAGGACCAGCAGAGCCAGTGCTTCCATTTCTCCACATACTCTCTGAGCTAATTTTAGTGTCTCAGACGTATCTCTCAGTGAAGGCTGTCTGCAGAGACCTAGCTGGCAGGAGGGGAGGCACCAGAGCTGTCAGGGCTCAAGGCCTCCAGCCCTGCATGGAGACAGCATAGAGGTAGGTTGCAGTGTGTCTCAGACAGTCATACCTGCCAGGGACCTTCCCTGCTGCACAGAGGCAACTGGGCTTGGGCTAGAGCATTCATCACAGCACCCCTTGGACAGCAGCAGGGCAGCAGGGCCAGCTCCTGCAGCAAATGGTCCACCTTAGGGGGTGGTACTGCCAAGGGTGTTCTACAGCATGGGACAGCAATCTAGGGACTTACAACCAAAAGGAAACACTGAGTTTGAAATTGTCAGAGAAACTATCAGGAAACACCCACACACGCACTCCCTCAACCCCTCTATCCCCCATCTCTCATAATTTTCAGATGGACTTCACAGACTCTGGGGTCGCAGGTTCTAAGTATAGAGCCTTCTGAGGAACAGGAACTACCTGGCTCAGGGAGGCCTCAGTTGGGCTTCTTTTCTAATTACTAAGCACAAAACATCAAAGCCTAGGTATGAAGAACTGTCATTAACAACTAAATTTACACCTTAAGAATCAAGGATTCTCCTGACACAGGTAAGTTTGGTCTTAAACACTATCACAGAAACATACTTCCTTGGATCTTGGGCTGTGTGTCCTATAAAAACTTTAGGAATGCAAATAAAGAAATAAAAAACAGATTTTTTAAACAAACAAAAAAGCAATGACTCCGATTTCCGTCATAAAGGAATTAGGATAAAGTATTCCCTAAACACTATTTCTGGGAAGATTTTGCTTCACATCAGAATTGCAAGCTCTGGGTCACTGCAGCTGTTGGTAAGACATGAGGGGGTGCCACATCACCAACTCATTTGTCAAGCTCGTGTGTTGCCTTTGGCCACAAAGGGACAGCTAAGTGGGGAGAGAGAAGAAAAATCTCCAAAAAGTCCCACCTTCAAAGTTAAGTTCAAGTATGTCAAGTGTGGCTTTTCTTGGCTACACCACCCCCATCCCAGGTGATAAGGACATTCTCCTCCAGGCAGCCAGGGTCAGATGTGAGGATGCCATCATGGCTCTGGGATGTGTTGCCTGGATGGGACTTACACAACACGAGAATCCTGAGGTGCCCCCACCCAGCAGCCCCTCTTTCTAGCAAGTATCTAGTACTCACTCTGGGGGATTCAGCTCACACCTCATCAACAGTGGGTCTGGACTGGCCAATCGAGGGGTCTGGCTGGGCATGTGACCTAGGCGCAGCCAGTGTTAGAGGGAAGGTCTTTATGTGTTGTGTGTGTTGGGGGAGGGTCGGATCCTCCGAAAAAGTGCCTTGCTTCAGTAAGAACCAGGCCTTCCTTTCTGTCAGATTTTGGAAGCACTGCAGCCCCAAGGAGTGCTGGCAAGGACACCCTGATGATGCCGGTCAAGAAGCATGTATAAATTGTGCAGGAACACCATCTGAGATGCTGACCCTGGAGTCGCCCTGGCCTGAGGCCTTGGGCTGTGCAAGGACAAAGCTCCCTTGTGTTCCCCAAGCCAGGGCTAAGAGGCAGTCAGCAATCTAGGCACTAAATGAGCAAAGGCAGACACTCTCCTTCTCAGGATCCAACTATGAGAAAATGTGAAAAGCAAGAAAAAAAAGTAACCTATTAAATGACCTTATTAGAGATAAAAATCCATTGGCTCTTCTCTAAGACATGTGTTTCCATGTCTGAGATGAGACACCTCCCCCACTTGCCTAACTGCTGTACCACATAGTGTTTGCTGCCTCCCTTCACATGAGATATGCCTCCAAGGGTGAGGCCAAGAACTTGTGCAGACTGGTGTCTAAAAGAGGGCAATCCTTTCCCCCACCTCACATTAACACAAACCTCAAAGTCATCTCAAAGAGTCTAAAGATTTGTCTCTAAAACAAGTTGCAAAGTTAGATCAAACAGAAAAAAACACAATCATTTTCTAAAAGACAGTTGTAGGTTTTGCTCCTTAAACTAAATTTGGAAAGAGTAATGCTAGTTTGTCTTTCTTATAGTTCACTAAAAACGTGTATCCATGGACCTACTGTGCACTGTGCTGTGTGAGATTCTACAAGGAGGATCTGGGCATTTGCTGCAGGGCTGTGGTCGCCCCACGGTGGCCCCACTCCCAAGTTAGCCTGAAGCTCTTCACAACAGTTTATTTCCTTTTGAAACCCTTACATGGGGTATAAAATTAAAAACATCATGGCTAATGGAACTTTTGAATCACAGTAAGTGTAAAGGTTATGGATTGAACTGTGCCCTGCCAAAAAAGACAGGTAGAAACTCCAACCACTACACTGGTGAATGGGCTTGTTTGGGGAAATAGGGTCTTTGTAGTTATCATTCGTTAACATGAGGTTACAGCAGAGTAGTGGAGGTCTTAATCTTATAGAGAGATGTTCTTACAAAAGAGGATGACAGTCACAGAGACAAATTCACATATATATGAAAATAGCTCTAAAAGTCAAGAAAAGTCTGGTGCTACCAGAAGCTATAAGAGAGGAGGAAGGATCTTCCTCTAAAGCCTTCAGAGGAGTGTGGCTGATACTCTGAATTCTGAGACAGTAAGTAAGTGCCTGTTCTTTACAGCCACCCACTTGTGGTATATTGTTATGGCAGCCCAAGGACAGTCAAATTGCATCCATGTGTTACAATGTAAGGTGAAGGGTTTCTGGATCTCACAGACGCACCTGTGGACTCACACTGCTTCCCATCATCCATTACCTGCACTTGCTTTGCACGGACCTCCCTTTCCTTCATTGCTACTGGTGGCGGCCGATGCCTTCCAGACTTCTGAGGAGGAGCTGTAGGGCTAATAGGGGAAGCTTCAATTCTTTCTGAACCTTCATTTAGAATCTCTCCAATAATACCTGAGCCATCACCTAAAAACAAACACCACAAAATTAGGCTCTAAATAAAGATTCCTCGGTGGCCTTCCTTAAGGACCTTTGTAGGACATTGGCAAAGGCCCTCATACAGGTCCCCAAGACATATGTCCACTGAGATCTGTGACTGCAGTGCTGCTAAAGAATTTCCCTAATGTTATTCCTTAAGAACAGCAGTTAAACCACCAATTAACTCAGATAACAGTATTCTTACAAAACACAGTTAAGATGAGAACCTTACACACTAGGTAAGTACAGGCGTTACCTCTGTGTGACCACCATGTCATGCCTCAGAGATCCTGGCACATTTACACAGATGCAGAGGTGCAGCTCTTCACCCTCCAAACACAGATCCAACACACCAGCACTGCACAAGCAGAATGATGCCATGGTGACAGCTGGTAGGACCTCCATCACAGATCCACAGAGGTGGGAGGGCAGCAGTAAGTATGTCTAACCAGAAGGTAAGGGTGCCTGACCTGGAGTGAGAGGGGTAGAAAAGCCTAGAAGCTAGCCTGGGACTCCTGAAAGGAGTCTAGAATTTGGAAGTACCAGGCTCCTCTGAGGGAGTATGGGTGGGGTGAAAACAGTAGAATTCAAAGTCTCTAAGATGTGTGTATGCATTCACTGACTTCTCATCAGCACTTGGAGGTTCTTTTCTGGACAAGTAGAGTCAGAAAGACTGGCCAGGAAGCATGAGGCTCAGTGGAGGAGGGGCCAGCATTTAGCAGGAAATAGGGCAAGACCTTTCAGCTGCTTCTCCTGATTAGTAACCTGCATAATGGCAGGCAGACAGGCTTACATCCTGGCTGAAAAGGGTGCCTCGGAGAGCACATCAAGCCAAGAGAGACCAGACCCCCACATGCCGACGGTAGGGCCCATGGGGAAGGGCTGCCAGCAACTGCTAATGCCGTGAGCTCAGAACCTTAGTGACGCTGCTAACCCAAGGTTCTATCTGCAGCCCAGGCCCTCAGATCTGTGAAAATGCCCTGACACAGAGACAGGACAGGGAGCATGAGGAAGAAATAAAGTAAGCACAGTACACTTCAGAAAACTGTAATTACTATCTTCAGAGAAATAAGAAGGGACATATTATCCACAGAATAAAAAAAAGAAACTGTAAAAGAAAGGAATGGTCACAGAGTAAGAAAGAACTCTCAGAAATTAAAAATTTGGGAGCAAAATAAAAGAATTTAATATACAGGTTAAAAAGTAGAGTTAAAAAAAAAAGTCTCTGAAGAAACAAGAACAAATACAAAGAAAAGCAGAAAAATAGAGAATCATTTCAAGAATCCAATATTTGATTAGTGAGAATTATAGAAAAAGAGAAGAGATATATTTGTGGGAGAAATTGTCACAGGAAAGTATGAGATGATTCTCAGATCTGTGGATGCACAGAGCTGTGGGTGCTCGGTGGAGGCTAGGAGCAGGATGCAGGGGGGATATAGTCAAGAGACAGGTGGGTACAGACATGACATGGAGCAGGGCTCCCATGTTGCACAGGCGCTGATTTTGGGGCCTAGAGTCAGTACCAAGCTGAAGCTATCAATACATGTGGGGGGATCAAGGACAAGTTGAAATATGAAAGTTCTCCCCCAAAGAAACACCACTGGATACCTTTTCTCCAAGAACTCCCAGAGAATAAACTTCATTAAAGATAAAGGTTCAACCTGAAAGGGCGCAGATGGCCGTTGAGGAGCTGAAGGCTGGGTGTCGGAGTGGGTCTCCCAGAAGGCCCTGGGCAGGCAGTGAACATTCAACTTGGGTCCCAGGTTGGGGAGGAAGGGTGATTGGTGAAATGGAGGAAACAAGAAGCTGTATAAGAAAGGAAGTATAACTTGTACACTGTACAGCTCTGCTAGAACTACAATGAATATGCTTTGTTGAAATATAAATGCTCAACAGTGATGTAACAGTAAATGTAGATAGGACTCTCTTAGGAAGATGAGAAGAGGGAAGGGGATGTGAGTTTATTGCCAGGATGTTTGAATAAAATGTTTAAGTAGCAGATGTGTGTTATGTATGCTTCTGAAATGCTCTAAAACCACATGTGTACGTCATTCATAACATGAGTTTAGTTGACATAAGAAATGGAATTATGTTGTAAACAACCTAAGTTAGCTTGCACCTGCATGCTGCGATAACATACAGCTAAATTTCTGTAAGCTGGCCATGAGACCTACGTTGTAAACAACCTCCTTAATCTCTGACCTTGAAAAGATTTAACATGCTAATTTTTGTTAGACATAACACCAACTGGTCCTTAGCATGTAAGTGCAGATAAGAAAATCACACAGAAACCCTGGAATTCTGCTCACTCAATGAGAGAAGGCAGAGACAGAATATCTCTCTTCTAGATTGACTCTCACTGAAAACTGAGACCATGGCAGCGACACAGTCTGAGACTTTGATCACTACTACCCACCTTGTACTCCAGCTATGAGCACAAGACATGGTCAAGTCCTCTTCCCAAGACTAAAGATCTGGACTCTAACTATTAGACAGACTAACCTGAGACTGTCCCAATTCTCTGGTCCCTAATTGAATTTCTTGTGGTCTTACCTGTGTGCCTTGCCTTGACTACCTTGTAATAAACTAAAGGAGCTTATGCATTACAAACCTGCATGTTTCTGTATTTATTTTAAAATAAAATATCATGGGACAATGCAATTTTAAGATGAAGTAAATGCTGGAACAGATTCTGAGCTGGAAGTGGATGTCTCTAGGGAATGGCCCTCAAGAGCAGGGTATTGAACAAAAGTCACTGTGATGGCAAAACCTTTGCAGAATCATTCAGCTTCTTAAACTGCATTCTTATTAGTTGGAAGACAGAAGATATAAAAATTAAAAGTTGTGTTGTTCTGCAAACACATGGTAAAATTCCCAATGAACTGTATACATTTCACTGTGGCTATGTTTTCAAAAGCAAAGACTGGGCCAATCATGATTTTTAAAAAAAACAATAAAATGCTTCAGAAAGTGATGAACTTATAAAAAGCCAACAAGTAACTGTAAAAGATGAAACCGGAGAATCATCATTTGGCAGCCACTGTAGGACAACTGATTCAGGCAAGATTACCAACAGACTCTAAAACAGGGGCACAGTTGGAGAAGCAACAGAGTATCACAGCTGTCATATAGCCTCCCCACAGGATAATCTTATCAACTGAAAAAAGAAACATATCAATAAAGCCTGACAGACCTCATCTTGGCCACGCGGTCAGAGTCAGCACTGTGGCCGGGGAAAGGGCCTCCCACCCATTACCATCAGGACTAGTGGGCCAGCGCAGACGAAGAGCCGTGTAACAAAGTGATAACTGTCCTCTCCACAGATTGAGTAGCTGCTCTAGTCTGGGGAAGATGGAACACCTGGTGAGGCTGGGGCTCATGAAACTGGGCAGGGCCAGGTGGGACCAGGCTGGGGCAGGCAAGGTGGGCATGAAATTGCCCAGATACAGGCAGGAGCCTCCTTACTCACTAGCACCCAAGTGCGACCCTCTCTTCACCTTGGGTCCAGGTGCTACTTCCTTCACTCTAGTCCCTGCTAGCAAAAGACCCAAACACTGGATGCCATGCATAACCTGGGATGTTTTTTTCTCTATAAAGAACACTGTTGGGACAGCTGGAAAAATCTGAATAAACTCAGTAGATGAGACACTAGCACTGTACCCCTGTGAACTCCCTGCTTCTGAGCACTGTTCTGTGACCTCAGTTTTAGGGAATGCACAATGAGCAAAGAGGCCCCATGTCTACACGTTAACCTTAAATGGTTCAGAGAAAGAGAGATACAGAGAGAGGGGGGAAATGTGGTAATATATTAACATTTAGGGAATCTAGATGGAGATAGAGAAATTCTTTGTATTATTCTGTACTCAGAAATTATCAAAATAAATTTTTTTTCAAAAAGATAGCTGACTCACTTTTGTCACTTCCATCACTTTTTCCTTCTGGCCCAATGGAAGATGATGTTAAATTTTCTTGAGAACCAAAAGACATCACGATAAAATCTTCAACATCTTTCTCCTGTTCAAATAAGCAGAACTTTTAAATGTTCATAATTTATCACATCACAGAGCTAAAACTGTCAGATGGAAACTTTCTATGTCTTGAATTTATCATCTCCCCACACAGAACCCACAGGAAAGAATTCATATTTGTGAGTACATTGAGGTCATGTGTTTCCAATAATCTAATTATTGAGTTTATCAATAGTTCTTCAAACATATTTAAAGTAGTCACTGGCAAATATTTCAGTGATAATCTATGGATACCTGAGACAGAATTACATATGACCAAAACTATATTTTATTTAATCTTACCCAAGATACTTAAAAATCTTGATTACTATGCTAGAAAAATATAACAATGATAAGTTGAAATGTTTTTCAAATTAATTAACAATATACATGACAACTGTTAAATATATAATATTATGAAACATAAACATAAAAGAATATTCTGGACAGTGTCCTTGTTCAGTTACAGAGATAAGCAGTCTTTACTGCTATGTGGTACATAGCATCACTACAGAAGCCAGGCCTGAGGTGAACCCAGTGAGCTCATCTACCTCACACATTTCAGAAACTGATTGAACTGACCTAACTGTTCTGATTACATAGGTTTGTTTAGACCTGCAGAGAGTTAACTTTCCTACATACAGTGCTGACCACAGGACCTGAACTGATACCAAGGCCAAGTCACCACTCTGTCAGTGATGAATCAACAATGTATTGCTGTGACATGAGGGTCCTCCTGGGGAAACTTCCTGCATCCACTCACAGAGTGCTAATGAGGAAGGGCAGGGTGAGGGGTTCCTTACCACAGCCATCCTCTCTACATGGTGGTGGTCAGTGGAGAAAGGCATATCCATAGCAAGGGGACACCCCGCCCCGGGCAGGGCCCTCCGCTTGGCTGTGGGCACCGGGTAACAAAGGAGGCCAGAGTCATCCGCCTGAAGAGGTGAGGAGCCTGGGCTGCACAGGCCTGTGGTGTCTGAGCAGGGTGACAGGGGCAGGCTGGGTGGGGGCTCCAGGCTTGAGTCCTTTCTGACAACTTCAGGGGAGCCCCAGGACAAGTCCATCACCTGCACTGGGCTCCTCAAGAGCTCCATACCCTCAGAGTTGCTCTGCAAACCAGTTTTTAAAAAGAGCAGTGAGACTTGCGGTTCCACTTTTTCTTGAATGGAAAAGTTTGATGTTTTAGTTCCTGTCAAATGATCCAGATGTTTATTAACTTCTGTTAGGTCCCATGTGGTTCTGTAGGTATTAGAAGTGTCAGCAGCAGTAGATCTGTCAGTCAATCCACTACTGCAGGAAATATCACTTGAGCTATTTTCTAGAACAGGCACTGAGTGTGCTGATGGCTGTGGGCTCATGGAATTTTCCAGGCCAGTCTCCTGGGCAGTCATAGAATGGACCACACGAGCCAATCGCTCCTGAAGTTGTTTCACCTGCGTTAACAGGTCTACTTTCTGTGGCTGACAATCTTCTAAGGGCTTTTCCTTACCCTGTAGACAAAAAAGAACATGCAAATAGTAAAATAACTTAATTGTAGGGCAGCCCCATAGTTGTTCAGAAGTCCATGATAAGCACTTAGGTCCCTTTAAATTCTTAATATTTCAAGTTTATTTAATTTCATCAATTAAATTTAATTCCAAAATCAAAGCTGAAAGCTCTTTGCTTAAAAGGCAGTTATCATAACATACTTTCATCTCAATTTACTAAGGATACACTTTTTTAGTGAGAAAAAAAAAGGACAGGAAGGTTCTATACTAGAATATTGAGAAAACACAAAACTATGGTTTATGTAACAAATTTGGAATTTCCTTTTCACGTGAAACTTCTAAGAATTTGGCAACAGCTCATGATGGCCTGCGAGCTGAGCCTTCACTTAAGAACTCAAACAGATGTTCCCATCATGACTGGTGGAAGACAAGTCTATTGCACAGAACTTCTGAAACAACTTTTCTCCATGTGGAACACACCTCACACAAAGGGACTAAATAAACACATGGAGCTTGCATCTCCTCTCAAAGCTGTCAGCCTAGCCCATGTGCTTTAGGACCCAGACCTTCCAGACTACTTCTATGGGGTGCAGACCATGTGGACAGCAGCCCGGGGTGTCCAACTGCACCCTGTGGCCTCTCTGTGAGGCTTTCCCATGAGGGACCCGTGCCTGAGCAATTTAGTGCCAAAAGGGGTTTGGTAGCAAATTTCAGAAAACAAACAAATCATTCCACTCTAGGTTTCACAACATGGACATGGACATAAGCCTCAGGCCTATTCTTGGAAGCAAAGGAGGGACAAACAGCAAGGATGGGCTCAGACCACTGGTGGAGCCTGCAATCAGAGTATAAGGAAGGTGATAATGTACTCCAAAGACAAAGCCATACCCACCAACTGGGAGGCAACCTTGAGGAAGGACACCCATGGACGAGGGGCACAAGCACTGTCATCATATCAGCCTTAACCCACAGTCACCAACATGGCTTCCACCCTGATGCCAGAAGTTAAATATCTAGAATTCATAACTCTGCTCTTTTTTTCTGGGAACATGAGCAAATGTATATATAAGAAAAGCCTAGGGTTCAAAAAGTCTTGAAATCTTTAAAAGCAAAACAGGCACTGGTGACAGAGGTCCTGAGCTTGAGTGAGGTCACAGGCAGTTCTGTCTTCACAGGAAAATCCAGGGTAAGCCCTGGAGTAGTTAAGTCCTACTCATTATAAGGGGAAAACGACTGGCCATTCACTTTTTAAAAGCTGACTCAACTACAGCAAATGTGTGCTTCCTAGAGTATCTTAAACAACATGTGTAGATCTCAAACCACTAATGGACAGAGAGTGGTACAGCATCACACGGTAGCCTAGAGGACACCAACTCCATCTGTGACCACATGTCCTAAAAATGACACTTTATCATTTCCTAACTCCCCTTCTAGGACAGGCCTGCTGCTAGACCCAGTTCTTTTTGTCAGCCTATTCCTGTACTAACAACAGAGGGATGGATGAACCTGGATGTGCAGGCCTTTCTAAGGGCTGCACAAAGTACCTTGTCCCATCGCAGCCGACCACGACCATCTTCTCTGCTCAAGTTCACCTCATCTCTCACCAGGAGGAGCTCAGATGCTAGCTGTTTCTGGCAGGTGGACAGCACTGACATCACATTCTCCTGCTCCAACAGACCTGTACCTCCCGGAGCCTCACAACCTGCAGCTGGCTGCCGATGGTCCTTTGTAGGGCTCTGTGGTAATGGGGAAATCAAGAGCGACATGCATCAGAATTAGAGCTGAGCCTAATTGAGAAACTGTGCAGTGAGGTAGGGATAGGGCTGGTGCTGCATGTAGATCACACCACCCACAGTATAGACCCCCAGACTATACTGCATGTGGAACGCTGAGGTCTTACTGGGTGGCCAGGCATGCCCCAGATCACAGTGCCCATGGGACCCCAGACCATACTGCTCACAAGCACTTGGAGGTCAGAAGGGTCAGCTGTGGTACTTCTCCATAGGTTGTGGCTGCCTTTGTCCCAAGTGGACACAGGTCCAAGCACACAGCACCAAAAGTCTATGGTCCTTGGTAGCACCCAGCCCCTGCAGCAAGTGCCTGATACCAAAGACATAACGCCACTTGGAAGCAGGATGGCAGATGATGTCAGAGTAAAGGCGGTTCAAGGCCAACTGGAGCATGAAATCCAGATGCTAACAGGCTTCCATTCCAGAAGGAAACTAGCCTGAAAGCCCTGAACTGAGGATGCAAATGAAAATGCAGACCCCAGACTGAGACCCAGAGTAGGGCAGGAAGTTTAGACACAGTCGTCTTGGCACCACTGACAATTCCCATCGTCCAGAGGATGACATCCTCTTAAGCTGACAACACTCAGGGCTGTGAGAGATTTAGCAGCACTGACGGCAAGACCTGCCTCACTGCATCATGCTGATGGGAGCCATGCACTAGTCTTGGGGCTCAACCAGCCATGGCTCTACACTCACCTCCCACTCACAGCCACCCACAGACAACTGTGCTTCCTGTTTCAATGGTGAAGAAGAATCGTGTTAAAATTTCTTAAAAAGTAGGAGAATAAAAAAATAATCCAAAGTCTTCTACATAGAACTCCACCCCACCCCACCTCCCACAACATCCAAGGAAGGAGAAAGCCTACCTGAGGGTTCCGGCAGTGGGGCACTGTATGTGACGGCCTGCTGCCTATATTCTGGTCTGAATCATTGCCATGCACACTCTCAAAGGCCACTGTGCCCCTGGGGGCCCCATACCCGGTGCCACTCTCTCTGTGGCCTTGGTGCTGGCCCAGGTCCCGCTGGCACCGTAGGAACCGCTGGCTCAGCATCTGCAGCTGGTGGCCAAGACGCACACACTGTGCCCGCAGCACCTGCAGCTCTGGGGGCTCAGCTGTCTCAGCCCAAGGCTGTTGCTCCAAGGTACACCTGAACTTAGACACAGCCGCCAGCAAAGCTTCCAGTTCAATAAGGCGAGCTGTTTTCTGCTTGCTCAATGCATTGATTTCTAGATCTTTCTCTGAAATCACTGCTTCCTTTTTCCTTAGGGTGTCCTCAAATTCGGTCAGGCGGGAGGTCAGTGCCTCCAGTGCAGACTCCTTGAGGGCCATACTGTGCTTCAGCCCAGCCAGCTGGCAGGCAGCAGCATCCTCAGCAGCCCGCAAGCTCTGCCCCAGGGCCTCAAGGGCCTGGCGGTGCTCATGCTCCCGTTCTTCCAACAGCTGGCTCAGTGCTGCCTTGCCCATCAGTGCTGCTTCCAGCTCTGCATGCAGAGCCTGCGTGTGGGGGCTCGGCTCTGTCAGGTTCTCAGCCACCACCTCATGGACACCCAGCAACCCTTGCTCTAGTTCAGTTTGAAGGCTTTTGGATGGACTGTCACTGAATTCAGGGGTCACGGGTCCCCCAGGAGAGAGCTCCTTTTGCAGTTTTTCAATGATCTCATGGAGTTGCTCAATTTCCTCTGCCTTCTCCTTCTGGAGCCGAGCTTGGTTCTCCTGCAGGTTTTCAATAATGGATTTCAGCTCTTCTACTTCAGGACTTTTGTTACACATAGCCTGAAGATAAAGTACATTCCATAGGTGAAATACTGAAATAAATATATCAACATCAGAATTTCTTTCCCCAATTTGCAGGTCATCCTGAGTTCTTATTTGCAGAAGCAATGACACTTCCCAGCCCAAGCAGATGGTTGCAGGACCAAACCAACTGGGTGTCTGCTCTGTGATGTTCTCAACAAATGGCTATTAGATATTGGAAAAATACTCCAGAAAGCTGTATTCCAACTATTTCAGGAGTAACAAACAGGTCAAAATGGCCATCTTTTGAGGGCAGGTGTTGCCATGTTTCAGATCCTGCCATCAAGGGGTCTGCCCTCACACTGAGTTAGACCTAATTTGCTGCTGTTGCCTAAACCGAAAAGGACAGTCTGATCTGCCACTGGACAGAGCCCATCTTATCACTATCTAGACATTATTTCTCCAATTATCCTGAAAGGAGCATTAAGAGTTTAGGTTTCAATCTAACACGTGAATAGGAGTAAAGGTGAGAACTTGCTTTCATCAGAATGTAATAATTGCAGCCTCTCCTTCTCTGAAAGGTGCTATGCCATTTAATCCTTGACAGCATTAACGTGAGGAATATTATTGCTTTCATTTTAAAAACAAGAAATTTGAAACTTAGAAAAAAGAAATCTTATCAAAACCAGAGATATTAAGTGGAAAACCAGGACTGAAACCTGTGTCACCATGGTCCTAAAGTCCATTCTCCTAAGATCATACCATTGGAGGACATCAAAAATAAAAAATTCTGATCTGTTTTCTAGTTAACAATTTTCAACCAATTTGTTTTACTCTAATGTTTTGCTTCCTAAAAATTGAGGGTTTACTCAAAACTCTTGGTTTCACTGGAACTACTTAACAGTTAATTACATTGACACAAATACAAATCTGGCCTACAGTAAAAGTGATGACAAGAAATCTGATTTGTGTTTGGTTTAGATAATATCAGTTATTTACTGAATGCATGTTTACTGTACGTGGATGCAGTATTATGTTTTTAGCAAAAAGATTTCTAAGTGCCTTTCTTCATAGGTAGCCCCATGAGACACACCCAATTCCCTATGTCATATGCAGGGAAAGAAAAAGAAATAAAATGTATACAGATTGGAAAGAAAAAAATAAAACTGCCCAAGAGTCTATATAGAAAATCCCGAGGAATTAACAAAAAAAGTCCTAGGGGACCAGGTTTGCTGGTCTGATATAGCCTGGTGGAACCACTGAGACTACGGCCCCTAGCTACCCTTCAAGTCTGGAATTGAACCCACACCTGTGGCTTCCAGCCAAACAAAAGACAGGCAAAGGAGTTGAACATTTACCTGAGGTAGATACACTCCTTGGAGACAACGAACAAACATGGGAGAAAGAAGGGCTGTTTATGCACAGGGAGACAGCTCAGGAGGCAGGAGTACATGGAGGGATGGACACAGGGAAGAGGTAACTATTGGGAGGAAGTGGAAGGGGAGCTGTTGCATTGTGATAAATTGTAGTCAATGTCATGAGACAGTATATGTGAACTGCTGTATGGAAAGTGAATTTGCTCTGTAAATTTTCACCCAAATCACAATAAAAAAAAAAAAAAAAAAAAGTCCTAGAGCTAAATAAGGAATTTAGCAAGGTCACAAGATACAAGATTAATAAACAAAAATCAACTGTGTTTTTAGACATTATTAATGAACAGCTGGGATTCAAAATTGAATAAAACATGTTATTTAATATAGCACTACAAAAAATTAAATACTTTGGTACAAATCTAACAACCTAAATGCTGGATATGTATATTGAAAAGTACAAAACACCAATGAAGGAAATGCAAGACGACAAACAGAAGTTATAACATCTTCATGAATTGGAAGACTCAGTATTTTTAGGATGTTAATTCCTTACAAATACACTTACAAGCCCAAGGCAAACCCAATCAAAATATTAGCATAATTTTTTGTAAATACTGCTTTTTTTATTTTAAAAACCTACATAGAGATGCGGAGACAAGGTGGCATCTTGCTAACACACTCTGCCCAAGCCCTTTATAACAGAGAGCAGAAAAACCAAGTGGAAACAGATACAAATATTGAGCCTGGAATTCTGTCTAAGCATCAAATAAGAAGATAAAGAATTAGGCTGTGTGCTGATTTGAAGGGGAATGGAAGAGGAGGTTAGTGTCTAGGGAGAGAAAAGAAGCCGGAACCAGGCAACGTGTTGCACTGGAATGCAGACGAGGAGAAAACAACTTCATGGAATACACCCAGAGATAAGGACACAGTGTACACAGATGGGGAGGAATTCAATGAGAAGGACATTAACTCTCCACTAGTCAGCCATATCTATTGCACCATCCACCTCACCCAATGGATAAGCACCATCAGTGGTTCCTGCACCACTCAATCAATGACAGTTGACAACATCTACTCATCCCAACCACAGCTGTCTCCACAAAAAAATAGACACCCGCACCCATATTCCCATCAAATATTCCACAAACCTAGAGACAGCTGAGGAGAGCTCCAATGCTACCAAGCTAACAACCAAAGAAGCACACCAGCTCCACCCATATGGATATATTGAATCAAAGAGAAACAAAAAACCAGGGTGAAATAAACCAACACATACTCAACAAATACAAACAATGACCTCAAAATGTCTTGGAGACAACACACAATTCATACAAAGAAACAGGATAAGACAACGGAAGCAAGTGAACAAAATAAAGAACTAGGAAACTTTTCCAAGGAAAAATAGGTAGTATTAGAACTATCTGATAAGGATATAGGACCTTCCAAGAACTCAAGGAAAGGGTAAATAAACAACAGCAAGGTCAGAAATCATATAAACCAATGATTAGAAATGCAGAAGATGAACACTAAAATTACAGAAATAGATAACACACTAGAAGGACAAAAGATAAGAACTGCCTTGACTGAAGAAGGCATTAACCCACTTAAAGAAAAATCCTATGAGACCAGCTTGTATGAGAAAAAATTAACCTGGGAGGGGGGAAAGCTACCAACCAAGAATTACGTACCCAGCAAAGTTACCCCTCAAACACTATGGTGAACTTAGGATACTCTCACACAACGAGAAATTAAGAAAAGAAGACCTGTTGATAAGCTGCTTACAAAAGTCTCATTTTAGACACAAAGATAAAATAAATAAAAAATCAAGGGATGTTAAAAATATATATCAACCTAATGGCAACCAATAAAGTGCAGGAGTGGCAATATGATAAATGTAAGTCTGATGAAACAGACTTCAAGGTAAAAACCAGTTAAAGAGAAAAGGGTATTATATGATGATAAAAGGGTCAATCAACCAAGAGGGGATAACCATAGTAAATATCAGTGCACTCAATGAATTGCTGTTGTTTTTGTGTGTGTCAAGTCATCTCTGATTCATAGCGGCCTTACGCACAACAGAACGATACACTGACGGTCCTGTACCAGTCTCACAATCCTTACTATACCTGAGTCCATCGTCGCAGCCACTGGGTCAGCCCATCCTGTTGACGGCCTTCCTCTTTTTCAATGACCCTCCACTTTACCAAGCATAATACCCTTCTCCAAGGAATGGTCCCTTCTGACATGACCAAAGTAGGCAAGACGAAGTCTGGCCACTCTCGCTTCCAAGGAGCATTCTGGCTACACTTCTTCCAGGATAGGTTTGTTAGTTCTTTAGTGCCTAAGGCATTTGACTGCTAACCAGAAGGCTGGTGGTTCAAACTCACCAGGCACTCCTCAGAAGGAGGACTGGGCAATCTACTTCTGTAGAGACACTGCCGCGGAAACCCAAGGAGGGGTTACTATGAGTCGGAATCAACTCAACGACAGTGAGTTTGGTTTGGTTTTTTGGATAGCAGTCCATGTTACTTTCAGTATTCTTTGCCAACACCATAATTCAAAAGTATCAACTCTTCTTCAGTCTTCCTTGTTCACTGTCCAGCTCTGACATGCATAAGAGGGAAAATACCATGGCTTGGGTTAGGCGCACGTTAGTCTTCAAGGGAACATCTTTGCTTTTCAGCACCTGAAAGAGGCCTTCTATGGCAGATTTTCCCAGTGCAATACATCATCTGATGTCTTGACTTCTCCTTTCATTGGTGTTGATTATGGAACCAAGTAATACAAAGTCATTGATAACTTTAATCTTTTCTCCATTTATCGTGATGTTGCTTATTGACCCATTTGTGAGGATTTTCATTTTATGTTGAGATGCAATCCACATTGCAGACTGCAGTTTTTAATCTTCATCAGTAAATGCTTCAAGTCAACCTCACTTAAAGCAAGCAAAGCTGTGTAGTCTGCAGGTCGCAGGTTGTTAATGAGCCTGCCTCCAAACCTGATGCCACGTTCTTCATATAGCCTAGCTTCTCGAATTTGCTCAGCATACAGATTGAATAAGTATGGTGAAGGGATACAACCCTGACCTACTCCCTTCCTGATTTTAAACCATTCAGTATCCCCTTGCTCTGTTTGAGCAACAGCCTCCTGGTCTATGTACAGGTATCTAATGAGCACAATCAAGTGGTCTGGAATTCTCATTCTTCTCAATGTTATTCATAATTTGTTATGATCCACATAATTTAATGCTTTTGCACAGAAAATAAAACATAAGTCATAAAATTTACACAAATGCATTGTAAAAAGTTAAAATTTACCAAAACCTATACACAGAGACCACACATGTTACAATTTGCAGTCTAAAGAAATATAAACAAATATAAACCAAACCAAAACCACTGCCATTGAGTCAATTCCAACTCATAACATCCCCCACTGGGTTTCTGAGGCAGTAAATTTTTACAGAAGTAGATTGCACAGTCTTGCTTCCACGAAGTGGCTGGTGTGTTTGAACCACCAACCTTCTGGTTAGCAGTCAGATACCTTAGGAACTGTGCTACCAGAGCTCCTTTTATTAACAAATATAGAGATGCAGTATTGAATCATAACTACATAAAATTTATTATAGTCCATAGTATACCTCCTGTTGATATAAAAGTAAGATCA